GACTCAAAGGACATGGCAGACTTTGTTGACATGACTGTAGTGTGTTTGTTATCCAACTCATGCCCTTAATAAGAGAGTTGAGAGGGAGGCCCTCTCACCTGAATTTGGGAATCTTGTTTGGGGTACTTCATGCAGAATTCTCTACCATTGTTACTTTTACATCATCATAGGAAAGTAGTGAGTGTTACTTATTTCCTGAGTATAACAGCCAAGGCAGAAAGAGGTGAAATGCTTTGCTTTGGACATAAATCAAAGGTGAAGTTGAAAGAAGACCAGTTTAATTCCACTGGATAAAAATTCAGTTAGGATCTGTGATGTGCCAGGTTATGCTAGATATTTTGGGAGCACCTAAATTAGTAAGACTTTTCCCTTCTCAGAAGAAAAACAACAATCCATAATTGGGTATGCAGACATGGATACAACTGAGGGAGGGTGGTATACTAGTTTGCACTGTAAAGAGAACTTGGAAGAGGGACTAGTCAGTTTTAATAAAGAAAGTAGTGGAGACTTGATGGAAGAAGACTTTGTAGGAGATGTCAGGGGCAGGGAGGTATGGGAAGAGAAGTATCCTGTAATTGCATGACCCACACTGAGAGCTTTGCTCTAGTTTCCATTTTCCATTCATCCTCATCTACATTTAAATAAAGGAGTGGATTCTAGGATTTTGTATAAGAAGTGCTGAGAGGAGACTTCCCTTAGCCCCTTTCCAAAGGTAGCCTTAATCTCAGATGCACTGGTCACTAAGGATGTTTTAAGCACTTGACTCTGTACTGGAGTAGAAAGTGGAGTTACCAGGGAGCACTTCTTCCCTTCCTTTCTCTTTTAATGATTATATTATGAACTATAAGATGCACATAGAGCACATATAGTAATGTATCATAACGAGTGCCTATGAACCCATAACCCAACTAAAGATATCTAGTATTAATAACACCACTGAAGTTCCCTTATGTCTTTCACCAATCACATCTTCCTCCTTTTATCTTGTTCCCCAGTATGTATATAAGAATATGTATATATAGATCCTTAGACAGCATAATTAGTTTTGCTCATTTTTATTTTTTCAATAAATGATATGAATATATTTATCCTTTAAAACTGTTTTTTCCTTCTAATATTATGTTTCTGAGCACTGACCATATCAAGTTACTCAGCCTAGAGTACATTCATTAATGTTCAGTTATACATTGTTCCATTGCAGGAATATACTATTATTTACTGATCAATTATCCTCAGATGGACATCTGTGTTATCTTTAGCTTTTGTCATTAATAAACCATACAGCTCTTTATATCTTTGTTCTCTGGCGTACATGGGCAAGAGTGGAGTTGTTGGTCATAGGATTTGCACATCTTCATCTTTATTAGATTATGCTAAATTGCTTTCCTTTTTTTTAAAAAATATTTTATTTATTTGAGAGAGGCAGAGAGAGAGAGTATGGGCGGGGTGGGGGGGAGGGCAGGAACAGAGGGAGAGGGAGCGGCAGACTTCCCCACTGAGCAGGGAGCCTGACGCGGGGCTCAATCCCAGTACCCTGAGATCATGACCTGAGCCGAAGGCAGATGCTTAACCAACTGAGCCACCCAGGGGCCCACTAAATTGCTTTCCAAAGTGATTTTAACAACTTTTACTCCCACCAGTATTGCATATAAATAACCATTACTCCACATTATCTCCAATACTTGACATTATCAGACTTTTAGATTTTTGCTGATCTGGTTGATTGATATAAAATGGTAACTCACATTGGTTTTAATTTGCATTTCTCTAATGACTAACTTAAGTGTTCTTTCACATGTCAGTTAGCCATGTGTATTTCCCCTTCCATGAAATATCTGTTCTTGTGCCCATTTTTCTATTGAATTTTCTTTTTCTTAGGAATTCTTTGTAGATTCTGGATAGTAACCCTTTGTTTCATGTCTGGCAAGTACCTTTTCTCAGCTTGAATCTATTATGAATCTTTTGATTAACTACGTTTCTTAATTTTAGTGGGGTCTAAATTATCAGTTCTTTTCTTTATAGTTTTAATGCTTATTTTGTTCAAGAAATCCTTTGTAACCTAAAAGTCATAAAGATTTTCTAATAGGTCTTAAAGTTTTGTCTACATGAGGTAGGCATGGGATGTTATTTTTTTCCACATGAAAAACCAATTATCTTAGCATCTACCCTTTCCACAGTGATTTGCAGTATCATCCATGTCATATATTAAGTAACCATAAGTGGATGGTTTTGTTTTAGGATTCTCAACTGTGGTCCATTTGTATATCTGTTTTTTCACACAAATAGTACACTGCCTTAATGACCACAGCTTTATGTAAGGTTTTATCTGGTAAACAAAATTATCCTTGTTCTTCAAAAAAGTCTTCGGTATTTTAGCATTTGCTTTTCTGGGTAAATTTTATAATCAGCTTGTCAAAGTCAATAGAAAAATTTGGCGGGATTTAGATTAGAATTCCATTAAATCTATGGATCAATTTAAGGAGAATTTATATTTTTATGATATTTCCCTATCTTTGAATATGGTCTATCTTTCCACTTCTTTAGATCTACTTTAATGTCTTTCAGTAAAATTTTACGATTTTCTTCATTAAGGTCTTCTACATTTAAAAAAAGATATTCTTAGGTATTTTACAGTTTTTGTTACTATTTTATATGGTTTATTCAAAATACATTATCAAACTTTTTGTGGTTGTTGCATAGAAATAAAATGCATTTTTTTGTATATTAACATTATAGCTAGCAAACTTGTTAAACTTTTGAATGCCATTTATTTGCCTATTTTGGGTTTCCAATTTCCTATCATTATATCATCTATGATTGATGATGGTTTGGTTTCTTACATTCCAGTTTTATAAATTTCATTCATGTTTCTAATATAACTGTACTGACTAGAGTCCTCAGTATAAAATTGAATGGAAGTGGTGATAGTAGATATCTTTCTCTTGTTTATGATTCAGAACAACCACTTCTAATGTCTCACTATTTGGGGTAATTTTTGCATAGGTAGTCTTTACTCAGTTAAGGAAGTTTCTATTCCTAGTTTGTAAGGGTTTTTTTTTTTTTTAATTGTGTTTTTATTTTAGTACATCCTTTTTCTGCATCTATTGGAATACAATCATAAGACTTTTCTATTTTGTTCTATGCAAGTGGCAAATAATACTATAATTATAAATTATATTCTAATGTTCAACTGTTCTCATATTCCTAGGATACACCTAACTTACTGGAGGTTAAACTATATGGCTGCCATTTTCTTTGCTCATCATCCCTTGTTACATCACTGATATTCCATCTTGGTTTATTTTCTTTTAGAATTAGGGTCTATGGACATTGAGCCTGCTCCATTTTTATTTATTTCTAATGTCTTTATTTTTTCATAGAAATGGAAATTATAGATAGAACACTTGTCCCACTTTCTTCCACATTATTAAAGTCATCAGTATTGATAGCACTGGACTCAAGATCCAGCCTTGACATTAAATTATTTTGTGACCTTGGGTAAATCCCTTCATGTCTCTGGGACTTGGTATTCCCTCACAAGATCAGAGTAAAAGCACTCTAAGGGGCCTTCATGCTCTCACAGTCTGTGAATAGGACAAACGAATGTACGTGTTGCTAGTGTTAGAATACAGAGAGCAGAAGAGGGTCAAAGAAAAGAAAGTGAGTAATAGGAGAAAAACAGGGAAAGGGAAGACAAGATTACATGTTATATGTCCTTTTTGTTTACAGCTTTCTGGGATGAAATTATGAATGCCCTGAATCCCAGTGATTTGTCTATTATTTGCTTATTCAAAAACATCTTGTGTCTGGCACCTTTAAAAATGGTGGCCTCTTGGGGCGCCTGCGTGGCTTAGTTGGTAGAGCGTCCAACTGTTGGTTTCTGCTCAGGTCATGATCTCTCAGGGTCTTGCGATCAAGCCCTGCATCAGGCTTTGCACTCTGTGGGGAGTCTGCTTGAGAGGGAGTCTCTCTCTCTCTGCCCCTCCCCTCCTGAGACACACCCCAACACCACCCTATGTTCTCTAAATAAATAAATAAATAAATAAATCTTTTAAAAAAAACGGTAGCCTCTTGCATGCAGGTTTCTCGACTCTTGTGTCCTCAGATCCCTCAGCATTGGTAGGCTGACACGTGATGCTGGAGAGATGAAATACAAGGCCAAAGTGGGAAAGAGAGGGATACTCTTTTCTGAATTTTATGGAGGACTTTCATGTACCCTTTAGTTCTAGTCACTCTTAAGGTAGTGGACAAGCCAGTGGACTGGGTGTCAGGGGTACTGAGTTCTTCTGCAGACCCGTTACTTTAAAAAAATGAAAAAAAAAAGTTTTTAGTGAATGGTCACGATGGGTTATTAACTTTATGCCTTGCACTCTTGTCTGTAAAATGAAGGTAAAAATAATTCCAAATCAGAGAGCTGTTAAAAATGATACAATGAACAGTGAAAGTTTTCAAAATGCTAAATTACTCTCTCAAGTGTCTGAGTCTTTCTTTCCTTTCCCCATATGTATCTATATCTATCAGCTCTAATAGACTATAGAAGTCTTGAAAGCAGGAACTGCCTGATGTATAGCCATATCCCTCAAGGTGCCTAGTACAGAGCAGATTCTCAGTGTTCGAGAAGTACACACAGTACAGATGAAGAAGTGTGAAAAAGTCAGCCAGTGTTGGTGGTAAGTGGAGACCTCCCACCCCCACATCTAGGGACCCATTTGGGGGTTGGATCCAGCTTTAAAGGCCAAAAATCCTTTACTTGTAAGGTTAAGACACAGAGCGGTCAAGTAATTTTAGAACATATCCAACCTTAAGGTCTTCTGTGCTGTTAGTGGAGGAGAGTGGGTGCCTTCATACTCTGTTGGCATCATATTTGCTCTGAGAGGCATTCCCTTCTCAGAAGACCATCTGGAAAGCAAATGATATAAAAAAATGAATCACAGTAAAAGGGGTCAGAAGAAAGGAAACCAGGATTATCCAACTCAAAAAGAATTCCACACAAAGACAAGTATATGTAATAAGAAGTTTATTGGATTTCTAAATATAATAAAGGAGTTGCAGTTCTTTTACAGAAAAAAGGGAATATCATTTTCATATTTATTCTTATAGAGCATTGGAAAAACATAATTGAGAGAAGAAACAGATAGAAGGTAAATAGAAATGTTTTAATATAATTGGATAATACATAAATACAAAGAAAATACCCAAATCACTTGCTTATAACAGGTTTTATTCTCTTATTTTCATAAGGAATCATGTGGGTTATTTTGGATAAGTCAGTGATGGTTCATGATGTAGTGCAGAAATGTGATTTTCTAAGAATAAAATAAGAAAGAGAAACCTATATTTTAGGAATATAATGGCTCTGTCAGTACCACACATGTGAAAAAAGGCATATTCCCTATACGTGTTCCTGTGGCTTTCCCTAAAGCAGGGAATGTTATTCTGACTAGCAGCTGATCGTGGTGGGGCTATCCTTGTACTCAGTGGGACGTTCTTGCTCTTAGTGGAGAGAAAACCTGGCCTCTCCCTGTCTCCCCCTTCTCCTTTCTCTGTCCACTTGTAAGTACCACTTAACATTTACACAAAACTCTCTCTCATAGTCATGGTCATCAGGTTGAAACCTGGAGCAGAGCCCTGTTGTCTCTTTCCCCATCCATCTTGTTCCCAAGGAGAAAACCCCCCGTATCCCAATACTTCTTCTGACACCACACAGAGATTCTTCAACTCTTATCTAGCACTGACATCTGATTCTCTAAAAAATAGAAAATGACTAGTGTTGAAATTGGATAAGGTAAAAACAGAAAACGAACGTCAACAGGAAGAGTAGACATTTTTAGTGAAGAGTATCACTCTTTCTCCAAGGAGCCAACTGGTCTCATAAAACGATGACAGCTAAAGCAGGGTGGTCCACACTCGAGATTATGCAACAGTAATCTGTTCCAGCCTCATCCCTGGTGCATGTAGGGGGGCTCCTTATATGGAAGGCAGAATGGTGGCTGACTGCAGTGCCATGGAAACCATCTCCTATAGCTCGTCCCTCTTTACTTCCTTTTGGTGAAAGTGGGTGGGGCAGGAGATAACTTTGTGACCAAGACGACGTCAAGAGCTTCCTTGGAGAGAGGCTAACTGGAGGCATCTCTCTTTCCCAAAGGAGAGGCGTATTCAAATGCACAGGGAGCCAAATGACTTAGAAGGAAAGAGAGCGACTTGGCAAGTGTAATTTGCCAGCTGGTTGAGTCAGACGACACATTGAGAAAGATCTTTTTTGGAAGCACGTCCTCCCTTCAACCCTTTTCCTAAAATCATGCACGGCCTATCTCGTCCTATTTCCCCGGACCCTCTCTTAGGCCACACCTGGAGAACAGTCCCTCGTTCCAGGCTGTGCGGCTGTTCCATCAGCAGTGACTATGCTTGCAATGCCCGTGACAGATCTATGGAAACAAAAGCCACTCAGTAACATACGCTACTATTTTTAGGAGTCAAAGTAGAGATGCTCTAAGGATCTGGCAAGGACATTGGGCCCCCTGAGCCTCCAATCCTCCTGGCCAAGACTTTTCTTTCATTTTCACTGATGTTAGCCTGAGAGATAAAAGGAGAAAAAAAAAACGTGCTGACATTCTAAACCCACCAATGCTCAGCTTATAAAACACACATCTGACACATATCCTAATACAGATCCTGGCTCTATTAATTCTCTCGAACAATGTTTCCTTCTGACTGAATATTCCAATTCCATACAGCAACTAGGCCCCTGAAGCAGAGTACAGGAAGCCTCAGCGGTATGCCTTCATCCAGTCGGATATAAATATAAAGTGGCTGTATCAGCAAGGAATGCTCAGGGAATGTGTTTGCAGCCTGTTTCACGGTGCCACTCGAGAGGGGATATTGGAAATGAGTGACTTTCTTCCATTTGGCAAGCGTTCCTTATCTTAGCACCTACTCCTTTAGATGGTATGTTTTTGAAGGCTGCACAGTATGACTCTGGGTACCGTGTGTACATACATATGTAGGAATAACGTTTATGTTTCTCAGAATAGGCACTTTTTGAAGGCAGTAAATCTAAAAGTAAAGTTAATAGAGCCTATATTTAGTGCTCATCTTCTCACTTTGCTGATGTGTATGCTGAACAGAAGATCACAGATTTGAGTCAGTCTCGCAAAGAGGCCGGAGTCGGCAAATGGCTATATTCAGAGCTGGGGAAGTCTTGCCAACTCAACTGTAGCTGTTAAAAAGGCAGACTTGGAGAAGGTGCAATCGTTTTTCTCAAAGGTGACGGCACAGAAGGAGAAAAGCCTGTGACAGAGCCACGAAATAAAAGCTCGTGTGTGCAGCTCAGAGAAATTACTATCTTCGGGCTCCACATCTCCATGTCACGTCTCCTTCATGGCACAGATTTGCTACTCAGAAAGTTCTTTCCCTTCCTTTTTTTTTTGGTGCGTCTCATAATTACACATATTCCCAGGAGAGAAAGAGCCCCAAATCTGCTAAACTAATGATAAATGTGGAGTTTAAAAGACAAAACAAAACAAAAACAAAGTAGTTCACTGCGCAGATAGCCTGGAAGAAGTTAACGCTACATCCAGCTGTGAAAATGCTGCATCTCAGTTTAAATTTTCACTTAAGGCACATTCAATCACAGGATAATTTTATTCATGCTAAAGGATCAGACAATCAAGTGTCATCTTTAATTCTGTTTGCTCTTTGATAGGTTTCCTGAAAAAGAACAAGGACAGAATTCAGATTTTTAGGGGGGAAATAGATTCTGACTTTGTTTACTAAGGAAAGAATTCTTGGATCACTTGCTTATCAGCTTTCCCAAGAGAATAAACGGGGAGTAAAAGGAAGAACGTCATTTAAACGTGATTTTGCAACTACTTCACTATACATACTGGTGACAAGATTTAGTTTCCGGGGTCCTGAATCTCTTTCATCAAGGATGCGTCTCATTTCTGACATTTCAGTGGAGTGAGGAGGCTGGCACAGTGTCTACCAGTTTCAATTTGCTACCGAGGGAGAGAGGTCTAAGGCACTTTGGCTCTTTCTGGCAATTTCTCCCTGATACATTGATGTGCTTGGCATATCAACTAAAAACGAAGCAGAAGGGTTAGCAAAATGCAAACACTGACTAAATATCAACTTGCCTTTTACTATTTGAAATTAAAATCAGGCCATTTCTATTGTTGGCATGTAACTGATAAAAATCCCGTTTCCTCTGAAGTCTGAATTTGAAGGAATGAAACACGTTGGCAGATACATCATAACCTGGCTATGCTCTTCTCCTACTTCTGGCTTATGGTTCCTAAGTGATCATCAGCTATCACCCACAGAGAAAACGAGACGAGAAGGTATTGGATTCCCCCCCCCTTTATAATTAAGTCTCCCAAGAAAGAAAAGAAAGGAGACATGGATCCAAGAAAAACTAGCTTCTCCCCTTTTTACATTTTCTAAAGCAGTTCAGAAATGGTGTTAAATAATTTGGTGAGGAAAGACATCCAGACTTAATATTTACTCCCTCATGATAGAGTAAATGGAGTCGGGAGAGGAAGTGTGATTCCTCTTGGCACGGAGCGAGCAGGCACCTTCCAACGTGGTAACACGATGCATCGATAAGAATGGCCCAGGAAGAGGCTTTACTCTTTTCCCCACAGATAGAAATGTAAAGAGAGAATCAGGCAGGAGAGAGAAATACTTTCGTTTCCACCCCCACCTCAAATTGCTTTGGCATATTTTAGGAGATAAATGGATCCATACAAAATTTAAAGAGCTTTTTCTTTTCCTTTTTGGCAGCCACAAAAATGGGTCAGGTCTAGGAATTATTAATTTCCTGGCCTGAAACACAAGTGTTTTAAAATAAGGCTTCTTTTTTGAAGGATCGGCTTTTTTGGAAGACGTCTGTATGTGCATATGCGTGAGAGTGTGTGCACGCACGTGCATGGGTGTGTGTTTGAAAGACAACGCAATTGTGTTTTCCCTACATATGGAGGACTGTATCATGTAGAATGGAAGAAGGAAAAGTTTTATTCATAATTTTCTTTACATTATGTAAAGGGAGATCAGGGTTGGTGACGCCCTTTCTTTTTTTAAAGGGCTGCTTCTCTATCTTCACTGCCTCACTGTCCTTTTCTTCCCGCTAACGAGATGTCACAGGCTCCACCCCGGGGAGTCTCTACCCGGGCGTACTCACCCATAAAATTCTGGAGAGTTCTCAAAATTCTTCTTCTTCTAGTCACCCACTCCTGGGTGGGGGTACTCTGTCTATCCTACAAGAATCGCTCTCCACGGCTTCAGCCAGAGCACTTCTCAAGCCTCACAGGAAGACGAGGCACCTTTCCAGGCTCTGAATGTTGCCATTTCTGCCAAGGGTACTAGCCCGCTGGCCCCACTGGCACGTCCTGTGTGTGCCAGGTGTGAAGTGTGGAAAGGGGTGAGTGGCCATCTGTGACTTCACTTGGCCCTCATGAATCCCAGGGAATAAGCAGAGAGATGGTGAGAGGGGCGTGATGGATGGTAGACTCTAGGGAGGGAAAAGCCTAAAAAGCTTATTAGATGAGATCATTTTACAGGTTTCCTACAGGAGGTTTAACTCAGATGAAGAGAGAATATCTTTGCAATCAGTTCACAGATTTTAACTGGAAGCCAAACAACTATAATGAGAAATGGGAGGAAATGAAAGCCCAAGAGCATGCATCAAAAGGCACATCTTCCTGAGAGATGCGGCTCAAGAGAAGGAATGGTGAGTTGTGGGACTGCCGGGTAGGGCAGCTTCTAGAATATACACAGAGGCTTCCAAGTAAGCATCCTGGGAACAACACAGTACCAAATAAGCTTCCACCAATCACAAAACCATACCGGCCTGGGCAGCCCTGTCTCTCCAACGGCAAACACCAAATGTGGAGCCGCGTTCAGTCCTGCAGCCTCTGTTCCCAGACGTTTCAAGGTCATGGGTGGGTGGGGTGGTTGGGAAACGCCTGGTGCAGTGACAGACACCGTGGGCCTCAATAGCTGTGAACCGAGAGGAAGAATCCTAGGCATTGTTTACCTACAGAGCAGTCTCCGTCTCCGGTGGGCATAAATCGTAGCCCAAGGGAGAGAGATCTGTCTTAAGGACCCAGTCACCTCTGCCCTCCACTGCATTCGAAATGACATGATCTTGGGTGACAGTCTGCACCTCACCGTTCCAGAGCTTTCCCCTTCACGCCAAGTAAACCAACCGTCTCTGGGGAGACTTGCGGGCAGCGTGCTGCAGCGCCACAGCTGTTTGTTCTCGGGGGTGGCCTTCCCCCACGGCCATCATCACAGGGTTGATCAGACAGAACGCCCGGGAGTTTCCCACAAGACAGCACGGACGATGTGCGCAGGCGCTAAGCGATCGCACGGACCGCTGTGCACACGTGGCTTTGCCGCCGGAGGTCTGTAACGGGCTAGGAGAATCGCCCTGGATGCCTTTGCACGGGGGGCACGTTAGTCTGGGCAAAGCGTACATTGTGCTCGGAGGTATTCTGTGCCCTGCGAGTGGCCGCTGGAGAGAGCACTGGACTTGCACGGCCTGGCTATGTCCCCAGATCTGCCACTTACCAGCTGCATCGCTTCTGGCAAGTCACTGAACGATTCCCAGCCTCGGCTCTCTCCTAGGATAGGGCTATTAATAACCTTCCTCCCAGGGCTGTTTCATGTGTGAAAGCGGTTTGTAAGCTCACTCAGGAATTATTATTTTAGAGCTCAGAAAGCCACCCCCAGGTCCTGCCCAGAAGACTGGTGACAGGTTCTGCCAATAGGGCCCTCTAATTCAAACCTGGGGAGGAAGAGGATGACAGTCCAGGGTAACCCAGGGCACCAGTGAAAGAATGTATACATTTCTACCTAAGACTGGAACATCCTATTACCCTGTCCCCCCAAGAATGATTTCCTCTGGCAAAGAACAACTAGACAGAAGTAAAGAGTTTCAACAGAACCGCTATCTTTTGCGTTTGACTTCTTCCTTTTTAGAAGTGGAGATCATGCACGGACATTTTTCAACCTGTTAGGGTCATTATTAGCAGGCCAGGCAACTGGAGGGTACTGTTCATGGGTTGGGCACTGGGGGAGGGCATAGAGCTATGTATGTATCAACTGTCAGAACAATTTATCTTTTGAGTAAGAAAATAAAAACAACAAAAAAAGTCGTCAACTCTAAAACCTGACCCTCAGAAAATCCTATTTTTTAAAGATGTTTAAAGGTTTTTAAATCTTCAGCTAAAAATCAAAAATTTTTTTTAAAGTAATGTGTTGCCAAAATGAAAACAAATATATTTGGAAGGAAAATGAAGGGAGGAATAACATTTTATTATGTACCAAGGATGAGTTTTGTGCGGCACTCAGGAGAGCATAATCCCCAAACCTGGTTCTGCTTCAGAGTCAGGGGGAGCTTGGAACAAAGTCTGATGGAGGAAATGGAAGACCCAAGAAGTCATGAGCTTGTTGATGCAGGTGATGCTTACGCAGAGTCTGGGTTATCACTTAGCAGTGAATCAGTAAGGGAATTTTAACACCAAGTGGAATAGATGATAGCAGGATCCTTTCCAATTGTTGACCTAACATAATAGGAAAATAAGGATGTCTTGCTTCTTCTCTTGCAGGGGTTCAAAAGACACATGTGTTTGCTCCAAGAGTAGAGTATCTGTGTTATAAAGCTTCTTGTTTATACTGTATGTGCTGGATTATATTTTGGCAGCTCATTCTATCTTCCAATTATAAAGAGACAAGATAGAAAATAGCAGTTGAATTAGCCCTCCACTATGCCTTTTACCTTCTCATTGACCCTGAATATCTGGAAATTTTTTCTCCTGTTAAGGAAATTCCAGAATCTGTAATATTTAAAGTAGAGGATCTTTTCTGAAGATAGTTTGTGCTTTTCTATTATTTCTAGTGCCTTAAATATTCTTCCTTCAACTTCCACATCAAGTCAATGAATCAGTTCAACATTTCTTACCAAATTTCACTTCTCCATGGAGCCCGACCGATGCCACTGGGAAGTAGTACCCTTCTCATTGCCATATTTCTGAGTACCCACTGAACCTGTTTCATCTTATTGCAGCTGGACTGAATCAAAGTTACTTAGGGGCTGATTCTCTCACAGTAATTATTAAATTAAGATGAGTAAGGGATAAAGAGGTTAGAAAGACAAAAGTAAAGAGAAATACAGACTCCTAAGGATAGTTCCTAACTGAACACATAGGGAAGCTGCTCACTTGGTCTAAAGGGCAACATCTCTAGGTACAAATATTTGAGCACAGGAAAATGGAAGTGAATGTCAAAACCAATCAGCAAGTAAATATTTATGTCGAACCCCTATAAAGTATCCAGAACTCTTTTTGCATATTCAGCATGGGAACATGGACAAAAACTATGCTATTACTGAGAAGACAGAGACAAAGGGAGAGGGTTACAGAGACTTTCTGAACATTAACCAAGAAGTGGGACTCTCACAGATGGTATACAGGTTAGCTTGCTTCTTGTTTTCAGAATGACTTCGAAATATCAAAAATCAAAAATAGTACAGGACACAATGTAAAAGGTCTGTTTTGTACACATGGAAGATCTAGCCTCATCTGCCTTCCACTCTCCTGGGTCTGAGTCCTTGGTGGAAATTTCCATGTTGACTATCAGTTTCTTTTGGGTGACTTCAATGCCATTTACTTTCAACCCCCAAAGAAAGTGTTTCCACCTAGCCTGACCCAAGGTGATTACTAAGTTTCATCGAGTAGAGTGAAATAAAATTAGAAGCTATTTGTCCAAGTGTTCAAAGGAGAAGCAGAAGGGTGACTGGATTTGACACAATGTCAATAAATGGGAGATTCAGACATTAGACTTGTTTTGCGAAGCCCTGGAGACAAATTAATATGCAGCACGAGGAAGAACTTTTGTAGAAAAGAGCTGCCCTAATAGTAGCATGGACTGCTATGAACAGTACTACATACTGGCCAGGTCTAAGATATGGGATGGTGACTTGCTAGCAACATAACAGAGGAGATTCAGGTCCTTAAAGAGCCCATGAGTCTATGTTTGTTTAGGAACACCACCGATGGATGTCTGGGGTCAGCTAGAACTCTCTACACTAGTGTAGAACACAAGATAACATAGTGAGACCTGTCTCATTCTTGGTAAACCATTCTACTTCTGGGGTTGAGAAGTGAACTAGAAGCTACATTCAGTGCCAAGTTGACTGAATCCATTATGTGGGTTGTTTAATAAGGCTGCTTTTGGGTCAATGAGTTAAATGCCTATCAGAGTTAGATGAATAAGGTTTTCTCTTGTCCCTAAATGGATGAGTAGCTTGGAAAAATTTAAAAAGGCATATTGTAAGGAAAGATTAATGCAAGTATCTTAAATTATTACAAAGGAATTAGCTGTAGGTTTTCTCCTCTCTCTAGTATATATAACTTTTCACTTGTAGAATATTAATTTTTGTTTATAACAAAGGCTGGAAATAGAGATATGTATTAGCGTGGTTAGAGACTGTGGATAAATTAAGTAACAATCAGAAATAAAGAGCAAAGCTTTTAGTATTTTTTTTTTTTTTTGTGATTTCAAGGGGGGAAATGTTCATGAATTTAGTAAAAATGCATCTTCCACTTTCCACAAAAGAAGCCACATGCATGTTGGATAACCAAAATGGTGTCTACAACTTCTTGCACAAGGGACAGGAAAGTAAAATAGAGAAAGGGATAAGTGTCCTAGATTTAAAGGAAAATAAGCCATTTTATATTTCCTTTTTTTAAAGTTAGTAAGTTAAGTTAGTTTCCTGTGTTTGCAACTAAAAAAGAGAAAACTAGTAAAAATTAGTTATAGTTTGGCTGTTTAGGCATGACATTATAGATAGTGGATGACTGGATTTCAACAAGAGAACAACAGACCTAAACTCCTATTTACTGTCATCATCAGGTAAGTACTGGAAAGGGAGAAAACACTGCATGTGTGAAAACAGAAACTTCTAACCGTCAGAGATGCTTAGGGTACGGTATGGTGTGCCCAAGAATATGTCAGAATATGTATCACCATCTTTTAGGCTGAGAATGAGCTATGCCCCTCTCTTGGAGGGGGTGAAAGGACATGCGTTATAAATTCCTGGAGTAGCTACGAACCCTGTCATGGGGCCTAGCAGCTACTCTCTCTTCACTTTTTTCTGACAAGGGAAAAATATAGTCACTATAGCTAGAGTGACTTTTAAATACTTCATAAACCTGGAAATATGAATATTTTACTAGCTTAGTTGCTTAAACAACTACAGTTGCTGATGCCTAAAACCCCTCCAAAAGGTCTCGGAGTGACACTTTACAAGAACTCTCCTGCCATCATTTTAATTGTAGACTGTCTCTTTTCTTAAATCTCTCCTTATTTTCCTGAATCCCACTCTTCTTGGACACAGGTTAACAAACAAACAAATAAAAGACAAAAAACCCCCACAAAACAACATGCCCACTGAGACTTGGCAAATTCACTTATGTATTGAATTAAATATGTATTAAGTATGTTTTACTTTCCTCACATGTGACCCTCTGAAAAGGGAAAATCAATGTCAATGTCAATCCTGTGAAAACTTATAGAAAGTGGAAGTGAGAGCAGAAACCAAAGGTGAAAATATATCCCTAGAAATAGAAGCTTTTTCCAAACAGATTTTAGAAAAATGGACACAGAGGGCATATTTTTATCAATTATTAGCCAGAGTTCAAAAAAATCTCAAAGCCGAATTTTAACAAAATGCTTTACTGAGAGACTCAAGCTTGTTCTCCTCAGGTTGCTTTTTTGCTTTTTATAAACATACTACAGGCCTGTGAACTGTGCTCTAGAAAGAACTCTGGCGCTGACCTACCCCCTGTAAAATACTGTGATTCAACTATTAGGATTTAATATTATGCTCATAGGCAAAATGCTGATATGTGTAAAAATTCTGGAAGGATAATAGTTTTTCCTTGCCATGAGGAAAATTACCAAGTTTCATTAGGAATAAAATAATATGCCACACCACTTAAAAATATGATTGTTTTGTTGGCCAAAATGTTTTTTTTTTTTTTTAATTCTTAACCTAGTCCTAGAAAGATCACTTTGCATATAGCTGAGAAAAGTAGGGCAGTCATGAATGAATTTGCCAAGAACTCTATGATCTGAGTCCCTGATGAAAACTCATTAAAATAAAACTGACTCTATTATCTCATCTCGCTTTATGAATAAACACAATCTGGAAAATATGCCCTTTTAAAGGAAGGATTTATGGATGCCATGTATATTTGATGGTAGCCTTCTTCCCTTCATATGGTCACAATTCTGTAAAGATCAGAATGCACTGATATAATTTACTTATGAAAAGTCCAAGCACAATAATATTAATAGGTAGGATGAAAAGCAGGACAGAATGTAAGAAAGGAAGGCAGGAGGAAAAAAAGGAGGAGGGAGAAAAAGAGGCGAAGAGGGAAAGAGGAAGAATTCTCACCAAACCATGGAGCTTTAATCAGATGATTTTTTAAAGGTTTGAAATAATACGTAATATGCTACCCAGACAATAGTCTCTTGAGAAGAGTTTCATTCTACGTATCTGTCATGTAAATAACAACCTAAAATGCCCACAGTTGTACCATAATAATGACTCAGAACTCAACCTGTTCTGTCCACTATTAAATTAAGACAACAGACAAACCAAAAAGCTATGACAATTACTAAAAGTGGATATGCTGAACGGGTGGTAAAGGCTCAAATGGAAGTCTGACTTCATTATCTGACTAAAACCAGAGAAAGACCAAACATAATCACTAACAACATCCGAAACATCACTTCCTGGCATAAAAGTGTTTTCTTTAATTCAGGAATCCACAAGGTCCTTCCAAGAGACAAGGAGAAAAGAAACACTATTAGAGCACATTAAGATAAAGAGTTTACACTTCTTTGGATTTTGTTTTCCTTTTCGATGACTGTATTTTGGAAATCTGGGAGATGATTACTAACATTATGGACTCCCCAGTGGAGTATTCAGAGCGGCGTAAAGACTCTTTTAAAATAAGGCACACATATATGTTGCTCTCCGATTGTCTCCCACGAAAATGCCCCGAGAGAGTGATCTCAAGAAAGGGACTTCAGGCACATTCTGCAGAGGTATATCTTTTTCAGCCTACTGGTTTCCTACAGATGGCGAAAGCAGGGTATGGAACATGCTGTCATATTTCATTCATAACACACATGTACTGTAGCTCGAGGCAACAGATGGACAATCACTTGTTTAAACTACAAATGTGAAATACTAAGGTAGCATGGCAATACTTCTAGAAATGTCTATGAGAAAAAGAAGCCTTTCCGAGCCAAGAGGAGTGGTGAGAGGCTGGGAGGTCACATCAGTGTTTCCTGATCTCCCTAGCAGCTGCCATAATTTCCCTGACACCCTTCAAAACTTGATGATGGAGGGATCAGGGGGCAGCCGACACAGATTTGACAAGAGAAGCCCGAACCATGTCAAATAGAAATAACACTGTTATTCCTGGCTGGTTCACATTAATAGGATTTTTACTAACTAGGAAAACTGTTGGAAGTTGTGTTCTCAGAGTCCTGTCTATATTCTATAAACCCTCTACTATAGTCCCATTGTAAAAGTGCTCTCTTTCTTCCTCTGAACCCAAATAAAAACACTTGTTTAAATGTAGTTAGAGTTTTATATACTTTAAACATCACCATAAGCATCTTTGCAGAATCTTGCGTGGTGAGGAAACAATGACAGTGTTGATAACTCGGCTGCATTAGTCAGCATACAGCCAATGAAGTAATTTTGATCAGAGAAGTTGCCCCTACAAAAATAATTTGTCAACGACAGGAAAAAGAACCCACATCTTTGAGCTGCAGAGATGTCCAGCATCTCAAAGCCTTGATGTCTTATGTTGGGACACATGACTTAGTTTTGAGTTTTTAATGCAATTTTGCTTGCAAACGAGACTCCACATTGAGTCAGTATGAGCTGGGATCCAGACAGTGAAGAAATTTGATTTTGAAATGGTGTGCAGAGCCCATGACACAGTGGGTTTTTTTCCTTTTCCATATCTCTCATCAACACATAATTACCAAATATTTGTGTTCTTGACCATTTTTTAACAAACTTCCTCTTATAAACTCTGATTTTTCTATTATTTATGAATTTAAATAACAATCAAGACAATATACCAAAAGACAAAAGAATTATAATTGTTAAGGTAATATGATCTTTCTGTCTCTGTTATAGGCAAAATTTCATGTAACTAAAACAGTAAAGAGTGATTTGGCATTGTTTAAACCAAATGATTAATAGAAAAGACAAGAAAGCAATATAAATCATATACTTAAGAAATCCTGGAATAAAATATGTAGGATCCTTTCCTTATTATACCTTGTGAAAGAAAAGAAATCTAAATCTAAATATTTCTGCATATGTGTGTGTGCACATTCATTATTATAAAAGTATAATAAGTCTATATTAAAAAGAGATTTACTTTAAAACTCTTTGGTAAAGATACTCTGAGGTTATGTGATAAAAATGTACTATAAAGATTGAAAGCAAGCAGTATTCTGGCAAAGCCACACTGATGGGTCTGTGACAGCATTTTCTTATAACTCTCTCTCTCTTTAAAATGTTTTGGCTTGTAAACATTTTAGTTACACAAGGACTTAAATGTAACAAACAAGTAGAATGTTATTGCATTTTTATAGTATAAATATTTCATACATTTTCCTCTTTTGGCAAAATTCATAATAATATGACTGCACTTCAAGAGATAAAATCCATCTCTCAATAAATTGGGCTTTTGGCCTAAACACAATTTCCCCCAAGTATTTCATAGAAAACAAATTGCTGAAGCCATTCAAGCAAATTACAGTATCTCTCCAATTGTCTAATAGTCAGTGCTCTTTGAGGTCATCAGCATGTCTGATCTTGAATGTGGAGGACAGAAATTCAGAGATACAGTCACTATTGTATCCTAAAATTCACATGCTGCCCAAAATGAATCCCATTGTATTTCACATTAAGAAAAATATAAGACCAATGGTAAGAGTAGCAAAGTAAGGAAAGACAATGTTTTCCAAGAAAACTTTGAAAAGTCGCAACTTTGGCGGTCACTTTGGGTGACTGAGGCAAAAGAGCCACAAATTAACTTAGATGAACTAATGACCATAGGTTTAAGAATTTCTTATTGAAATAAAAAAAAGAAAACTGAACCATTTTTACAATCATTCCTACTAAAGTAAAATAAATGTAATTGGAATTCCTGAGGCATGGGGTGTAATTCAAAACACACACAAATAATTTCTCATTTCTTTTCTGAGTGTTAAAATTAAAAATTAAAATAAAAGACTAAAAATCGACGTTATCACTTTATAATCATGAAAAAGGTATTTGTGGACTCAGGGAAGGGTGCGCAAGGGAATGTAACTATATTTGTTATATTTGATTTCTTAAACTGGGTGTTATGTATACAGGGATTCATTATATTATTATTTATATTTTGTGTATACTTAAAATACTTCATAATTTAAAAGTATATACTTGTGGAAGATTTGAAGAAATGTTTAAGAAATCTCAATCCAAAATACTCGATTAGTTTACAAAATGGCAACCTGCCGTGATGATGATGGGCGTCTCTTTAAAAGAAACAAGTTAGAACCCAATAGAATGGTTCTGTAGTTGGCAAGCAAGCATTTCAATGCCCAGTAAGAGTTTGAATAAAGATTCCAGGCAGAGACTCTCCATATTTTTAGCTCAGAAAGGCAATTTTTTTTTTCAGCGATTGTCTTTGAAAGTGTGGTATAAATGTCACATCGATGATAAGAAAACATCTCCCACGATATGCAATTTGAGTTGCGGAGGGATTATGGGAGTGATGAAACAGTGGTTTCACAATTTTTTTCAAGCTTTCCTGTCTTTTTAAAGTAAATTAAACAAAACTCCACAACTGTATTTTCTGTGCTCTGATTTGCAGTTGTCAGGCAAAAAGGACCTGGGCCTGGGGGGAAAAAAAAAGGAAGAATAGGAACAGTTCTTTACAACTGTCTTCTCCGGAGAAAACTCAACTTTGGTAGTTGTGTTTGGATATTACTAAAAAAACAAAACAAAATAAAACCATGGCAATATTTCCGAGATGAAAAGTGGGACAGTATTGGAAATGCTATGTTCCAGAGAAAACAAAGTTTGTCTGAATTACGATGTCTAGGTAGCATGGAAAGGAGAAACTTAAGATGGTATTGTGGGATTATAATAGGCTTTTCAAAATACCCCCAAAATGCTTTTTTCCCAGCATATTCCACCTGTAATTCCTTTAGGAAAAAAAAGCAAACTTTGGATCCCTCTCACCAATTACTATTTTCAAATGAGCCCTGACCACTGGTCACTAGAGATTTTGAATTTCCAATCAAATCTGGTTGCAAATTAAATTTGGACTTGTTTTAACCTATGTAATTTATAGCTTAAATTCTCTGTAACCTAACATATACATGGTACACTTTTTTTTACCCCCAAGGGGCATGACCGGTTTAGAGCAACAGAAAGATGTACTTTTCAACACACAGAAAAAGAATGGCTATCCTTTCTGATCACAGGCCACGTGGAACTGATAGGATAGACCCTTCAAGCCTAAAAGCACCTGTGAGTTGGCCGACTCACCCAGGAAAAACTGTGTGACAGCAAATACCACACTAAAAAAAGCCATTCAACCAGATGAAAAGTGAGACAAACATAGGGATTAAAAGTTACAGGAATGCAGAAGTGAATGGGATGGAGTATAATCCGTGCAAAAATGTGGAAGTCCTTGGGAACAAAGGCCCATCAAGGTCCTACATGATTAAATGTGAAATGTGTATTTGGTGAGAACTTAAAAAAAAAAAACTCATCATCTATGTGCTTCTAAAGAAAGGTTAATATTAGATGAAGAACAGAGACCATCCCATGGCTTGATTGCCTTTCCTGTATTTTCCCATTTCTTTTCTTATCTTTTTCTTGTGTTTCCTTCTTTTCAGCGCCACCGACTAACCAGCTAAGCAGGCGACCGAATTTAAAGGTCGGTGCTGGCCTTGGCAGTGAGCACCCTGATGCGGGCAGAGTTGCAGGTCTTGCAGAGGATGTGTCCATCCAGAGGGTAGCAGCCTTGGTTATCTCCTTCGGACAGGAGACCGCCACAATCCTGGAAAAAAGGAAAGGATGTAAGTGAAACTGGAAACTACGGATGTGAGGACTGCATTCCTTAGCTTTCTGTTTGAGGCCTCCATAATGTGGCCACTTACTACAGGGTAAAATGACCCCCCTCAGGTTACTTCATAGGAGAAGAACCCAAGGCTCTGGGGCCCCAAGTAGTAGTTTTGTTCTCTCACCCAAGCAACAAAAACAGCAAGACCAAGAGACAACAAAACAAGAGGAGATCCCTAACCGCTCAGTCATCTTTACCCTTTATCACGAGTCTAAGGATCTCTCAAAAGGAAAACACAGGCACAGGGACAGAATTCCTTGGCCGTTTCTGGGCAGAAGCAGGGCTGTAGAGTGCCTCCTTCTACGCAGAAGGGCCAGCCCTAGGCTGTGCATCCTGGCTCCAAGTGTAGTGGGAAAACAAAACCCTGAAGTATGTTGGGAGTACTGGTTTGTGGCACGTTCTGGAGGAGACAGTGTGGTGCAGAGGAATGTGTTGGATGGGGAGACGGCCCCTCCCGGGGCGCCCCTTAGCTCTGCCCCTGTGTCACTGAAGAGAGTTCCTGCATGTCCTACCTCACCAAGCTGTTGGGAGGATCAAAGAGGAAACTGGATGTGACTGTACTTTGAAACAAATGCAGGCAGCTACAGAGCTGGAAAGGATCAAAGGAACGTACTACTATCAAAAGCACTTCCGCAGCTCCATTTTTGGAAAGTGTCATGTAACCGCCAAATACTGGCCCTTACCTTTGGAGGAAATGGAAGTTTCTTTGAAAAGAAAAATACAGGACTTCATCTGGTGGTGTTGGCCCTTGCTCACTTCAGCAGAAACTCGTCTAAAAGCCCACCAGCGCCGCATGCCCTGCTTCTGCCGTTGACTAAGACGGTAAGGAGGTCGCCGGGGCTCATGCCTGCATTTGACTAACAGTGAAGTGCAAGGCCAGAAAGGGTACGGCCTCCAACACCACAGCCACCAACAGCAGCAGGAACCAGACTCCCCGGAGCTGGCTTTGTTTGCCAAAACGAGCAAGCAGCTATTTTGCCACTCTAGAGGCATTCGGGACACTGCGTGATGGCATTAAATGAACTCTTTTTATCGCGATAAAGAAAGAGGGAAATTTCAAAAACGCCATGGCTGTAAGCATTGAATGAGCTGACCTCTACGGTCACCTGGGCAGCATGAAGAGCCTGGAGTCAACCACAGTGTTGGCACCATCAACGCCTTGACTCTGAGAACCCAAAGGGGCCACCCGGGGCGTCCAGCGCACCCTCCCGGTTTATAGAGATGGGGAGGTGAGGAGCAGAGGGGGAAGTGATTTCTCCAGTGTTCTGCAGCGTGCGTCTGAGGTACGACTAGAATGATGGTCTGTCCTCTTCTAATTCAGTGCTCCTCCCATGCTATAGCATTGTTTTGTAAACAAAAAAACTTCACAGGACTTTAAAGCAAACCTAATTTGTACTGCTCTCATTTCATCTGGAAGGAGAAAAGGCACCTTTCACACAACTCTGGGCACAAAACCCAAAACCATTAAAAGTCAAAGCCTATTGGTATGCATAGCAAGTGTGTGAGCAATGTTGGGAAGCTTTTCTTCTTTAAGCCTCAGTTTCTCCATCTGTAAAATGACCTCGAAGGCATCTATGAGCTCTTTCACACTTATGATTCAGGTCAGTTTTAAAGCTGGCAGTGGTTGTTCCTCTGTAGTCATAAAATGGTGTAAAAGCTGGTAGTTTATTATCTTTTCTCATGTTAAGGACCCAGAGAGGGAGGCCACTTGGGCTCTAGGGCAAAACAAAGAACCCTACATCAACCAGGTGGTGGGTTTCGGCCAGAGCAGTGAGTGGAATGAACGCAGTCCCAGAGAGCCAGGGGCGGCCCCGTCCCCAGTGTCCTGGGAAGATCACCCAGTGGGACTAGATGAACCAGTGTGTGAGGGTGTGGTGTAAGGCAGTTTATACTCTCCTTCCCAGAGAGAAGAGGGAGCTGATAAGTCCTGTCCTCAGGAGAGCTAGTAGAAAACAAGAAAATGGCTTCAAAGGGGGTTCTCTGGGTAACTAGAAGCAGAATAAGAAAACATTTTAAAATCACTTTTCGAACATAGTGCCCTTTTGATACACAGATTATGGGAAGGACTTCTGCCCTTTGCTGTAGAAATGACTACATGTCCCTTGGGCAAGAAGCCTTCCTTGTCACTTCCAGCCTGGATTAGAGGCCTCTTGTGTGTGTTCCCAGAGCACCTGTGCATACCTCCCTGGAGCCCTTAGCAGCCAGCCGCCTGACCGCCTGTCTTATGTGCTCAGTCGGTGCCTGTAACTCAACCAATCTCCATGACTTGGAGCATCAAGTTCCCAACCCTTTGAGAGGTGTAAGAGTCAGGGGAACAATAATAAGAATAGTACCAAGAATACCATTTGTCCCTAATGTAGCACTTCGTGATTTACAATGTCCTTTAATATACAGTTTTGCATTTTGGTCGCTCAGCCAAATTTGGAGAAGTTCATAAGAATCTGAGTCCTTTTCACAGGTGGGGAAATTGAGACTGAGTGGTAAAGTGACTTCTCCAGTGTCACTAGCATTAAATGAAGGCCTAAGATCTAAAACCCAAGTTCTGTGAACACAGGCACCAGGGGGCTTTCCCAGATTGATTAATTGCTGTGTTTGAGAAAACCAGCTCTGTTGGGACTTTCAATGCCCGTCATGCACTGACAGGGGGTGGGGGCGCTGGCCACAGACCTCACAGCGGTAGCAATGAACATGGAAATCGCGATCGAGAGCCACAATCCGGACAGTCTCCTCCTGGCCTGGGGCTGGCATGATAGGCTCCTTGCACACAGAACATCGAGGGGCAAATTTCCTGAAAATGGAGACACAGGTCTGGTTAGATGCTGAGGATGGACACTGACAAATGGCGGAGACCCAGAAGTGAAAAGAAAAGGAGTCAGCCCAGGGTCAGGACATTTGCTCTGGCATCTTGTGTGACCTTGATTGAGCAAGTCACTTTCCTTCTCTGGGTCTGCTTCCTCAGCTGTATAATAAGGGACTTAGACTTGGTGACTCTTGAGGTCCTTCTAGACCATGAACATTGTGATTATTTGGTGAGGTGGGGAGTTAGTACATGTACTGCTTATCATGAAGAGCATCTAGGAGCTATTGGCCACTTGATATGTGGCATGAAATTTGCTGGTGGATAGATTGCAAACACAGACCCTGGGCTAGGGCAGGGTCCTGGGGGCCCTTACTTGTTTTCTTTGCTTGACTTTGTCTTGCTTGACTTTTGCTCCTAGACTTTTATATGTGCTCCCTGGGCCCTCCACAACTATTCTGAGGTTGGTAACTGTGTCATTCCCACTTATTAGAGCCTCTTTCTCGGAAACTGAGCTCTAGGAATTAACACAAGAAATCTCAGCCACATATCTTGTCAAAACAGTAGAGGTTAGTGAGTTTAAATACACCAAACTTTACACCAAACTCACTATGACCAAGTTTGCACTTCCTAAGTTTCAGTTGTGTTAAACTCTGGTTTGAAAAGAAAAAAAAAGTTCAAAAGCTGTTTTTAGAGGGTCTTAGCACTTCCAAAAGGTGTGGACACTTACGTGTGTAGATACGCATATACATATGTGTGCTTTTGAGGTTAACTGTGGTGAGGAATTTTAATTTCCTGATCTCTTACTATTCCTTATTATGACCGATGGCCCTAAAATTTGTTCTCGTAACAGATTAAGAGGCTGCAAATACAGGCTGTGCATTCATCTGCATCTCCTGGAAATTAGGGGTGGCATTTGAGAAGGTGTGGAATGAGACATGATTTGAAATGGCCACGGATAAAAACTGAAGAGATGGAAAAAAAAAAAAAAAAAAAGGACAAACAGACTGTGTGAGTCAGTTTTTTTCATGGTAATGGTTCTGAGATTAATGATGTTAAAATTTATCTATTTGTAGTGAGACTGAAAAAGAAATAATGATAGTAATCTAATACTTTGCAGAGCACTTTATGGTTGTCAAAGCATTTTTACATACATTATACTCGATATGTACATATTAATTTTCTTGGCAGCACCCAAAAGGCATCTGTGTGGCTGCAATCTAAATAAATATGAATTAAGCAGCAGATCAATTGATTGCTATGAAAGAAAAATTAAAAGGATCATGGTACAACTGCAGCAGTAATCAGAGTTGTTATAATTGGCATTTTATGCGAGAAGTTTACACTCAGTGGTAAAAAAAAAAAAACAACAAAAAACTGCTTTGGACTACCTGATTATTTTTGAATCTGGGTCATCGGTAGTGAAATAAGCAGGCTTCTGGAATTCAGTGCAGAATTTCCTTTCCCCAAGCCCATCGAGACTATAAACTCAGGGAGGTCAGAAGTATGTCTTGCCTGTCATTGAACTGTGAGCTTGCCCTTCTTTCCTCAACTACAATTACTTACTTCTTTAGGATAAAATATCTTTCACTGAATTTGCCTATTTTAGTAGTACTTATTTGCACATCTTTGGGGACCATTAAACTGAGCTTCCAGCTGGCAGGTTTTGCTCAATCTCTGAATCTCCAGAAACAACGGTGACTGGGGCAGACAGCAGAATTTTAGGCTATATCTAACGAAATGAAGTGTCTGCCATATTGCTCTAATAAAAAGATGTTACTTGGACCTTTCTGTTCAATCTCAAGGTCCTTCCTCTTTGGAAAGGCGTGAATTGTATTCTTGCTGAGTAATGATTCCTTCCTACCAATTGGCCTCATTTCCATGATGGGAAAAAACAAAGTGAAGAGACAGGAAGTGGTTTCCACAGTCCCCACAGTGTTCCTTGGCTGGCATTTTGAAGACTGTTCTAAATCCCAGGTGGTCAATGTCAAGGATCAGCTCACTAAGCAGACAATAATAATAATAATAATAATAAAATAAATCTGAGAAAAAAACACTTCTGATGGTTCAAACGGCTACCATATATCGTGTGCTTATTATGTGACAAGCCTTGTTAAGCACTGTGCACTTGACCTCATTTTTCACTGACAGCAACATTATGAAGAAATAGTTCTTATCATTTCTGTTCACAGTCACAGGAACCAAGGCTCAGAGAGGGCCAGTCTTCATCATCTTTGTCCTGGCACATTTCTGGCAATCGACAAATGGGTGCTGATTAGACAAATAAGTGGACGAGTGTAATATCTCCGATAAGAAAGCACAGATAGTGAAATAAAGGCTCAATGCAATGAAAGGGTCAGTTAAATAAGCTGGCTTTTCTGAGCTCACTGTCCTGGCACTGGGAAAACAGAAATAAACTAGGACTCCAGCAGTCAGACTGGTGAGGGAGTTCTATATATTTCTGCATTTGGTCTATTAGTTGAGATATACAGATCCTGTCATGTTGCAAAAATGGTCGAAGGTGGTAAGGGTAAAACTGTGTGTGTGTATGTATATTCTTTATTACTAATCAGGCTATGGTTAAGTACTAGCTATACTTGATTTACAAAACCCTATACAACATAGAGAAAGAGATGTAAATTCAAACAGGGGAGAGGGAGGAGTTGAGGTCAGGGAGGTGTTCTCAGAGGAAGTGGTAAATGAGTTGGGGCTTGAAAGAGGGCTATTTAGGTGAAAGGCGAAAGTGTGTGTGTATGTGTGTGTGTGTGTGTGTGTGTGTGTGTGTTTTGATAAGGATGGATACAGTCAGTTTGCCAGGGAACTAGTTTGAGCAGTCATCTGAAATAACATATGGGAAAAGAGTTGGTACCTAATAGGATGGAGGACTTGGGCCAACCTTGACTGAAGGTGGTTACGCAGGGGATGGCCCATTTACAAGGCCTTAAGAATAGTATTTGGGAAGCTTATTACTCAAAGTGCAGTCTAAGACCACTGGGGAGCTTGTCAGAAATGCAGAATTGTAGGTCCCACCTCAGACCTACTGAATTAGAATTTGCAGCTTAACAAGATCCCTAGGTGACTTGTAAGCACATTAACATTTGGGAAGCACTGGCTTAGAAAACAGGATGCTAAGCAGGCGAGATGAATCCCTTGTCATGGGCCTTCTGTATCTCACAGTAACTTCCATTCCTAGGCTGCTCTAGTTACAGCCAAGCAAATCTTCCATGAATGTAGAGAAGCCCTTCCTCACTTCATGCCCTTCTTGATTTCCTGAGTTGTTCCTGCTGTCAGGAATCTCCATTTCTCACTTAAAATACTCTTCAAATTCTGCTTCCAGAAGCCTCCCCAGATCTCAGGGCCAAGTAATCTCCTCTGACTTGACAGCTCAAGCCTTTGCCCATGCCTGTCTCATCGTGTCTGGCCCCTTCTGCCTGATACCATACATACTCTGTGCTGATTCTCCCCCTCCTTCTGGCAAGCTCCTTGCTGACAGGGGCTTTTCTCTCTGTCTGTGCATTTTCTACCCCTGCAGTTTCTCTCCTTGTATCTCTCTCCATTAGCACTGAGCACACAGAGGGCTCTTTGTAGACGTGGTGGAATTGAATTGAAAGGTGTTTCCTAAAAGCTCATTGAGGGAGACCAAGAACGAGGCCCCCCACAATAGTCTGCAGAAGGAGGCTGTATCCCCCCATGTACCCTCTCGTTAGCCTGGCAGTGCCCACCCTGGGTGGGGCTTTTAGCCGTTTTGTGTTCTAGTACTTTCAAGGCTCAGAAATAGAGTTCTGTAAAATGTATCTCTTATTTTCCTTTGGGAAATGGTGAAAAGATCAAAAAGCTTTCCCCCCCACATACCTGCCAATCATGCAGACAACATTATTTAAAAAAAAATAATTTATGTTTTAACATGTCATTGAATTGGTGGTGGTGGTGGGGCTGGGAGGTGGAGCTGGGGCTTGGAGATGGTTCTTCCCTCTTAGCTGCTAAGACTGCTTGTCTGGAGTGTTCAGACCCACTTATGTCACCAGTCCCAAGTCTCTAATTATGCTCCTCACTCTTAGAAATGAAAGATAAATGGCAGAGATATAAACTTCCATTTGTCAGAATTGATTTCCTGTTTTAGTTGGGGGGTGTAATAGATCAGTCTTTTCCAAGCAACAGAAACATGTGTGCTCGGATTACATCTACCAGTCCTCCTTGGATTAGGGTACGTCGAAGAAAGGAGAGAAACCGTGACAGAAACACACTCCCCAGCAGTATCTTTTCACTTCCCTTAAATAGATACAGTGTTTTTTTTATGTGTAATTACAAGCTAAAAATATCAATAACGTGAAGTACAATTTATGCTGTGACTGCCCTTTCAAAGTGAGCCCTTACTTGTCTAATTCAGGTTGAGAATTCCTGCCTGTTTTTTTCTTTTTTTTTAATTCATTCAGCCTCACGTCTTTTGGTGAGGTTTTCACTTTCTTTGCTACTTGGAAAGTGGTCAGGAAATTCACTTTTAAAACAGTGGAGTCTCAGGTCCCCAAACTGCCTGTGGCAATTTCCTCCTGATTGTTGACAATCAACAGAGTGGTGAAAATTAACCCACAAAACTGCACATCTGGAGGTCATAAAATGGAGACCCAAACTGGGGAGCCACATGAGCTTTATCTCTGTGAGAACTCTGGACTATCCTCAAAGACCCAGACTGCCCAGCAAGCAAGCCAGAAAGCCTCTGTGCCTACCACTTACAGATCATCGCTATGGCTTTCGTATCGTTCCTAAATATATGCAACAAATGTCATCAACCAATTTGCCAACTAAGAAGGGGGCCAAATAAAAAGAAGCAAAACACAAAACTGTACAATTTTCATGAAAACCCTAGCTATAATAGGGGAAAGAGGGCCCAATGAATGGGAAAACTGAATAAGGACACATTTTTTCCAGGCCCATGAGTAAGTGATCTTGACCTTGAGAATCTACTTTCTAATCTTCCTCAAAAGACTGCACAAGGCTGCATTCATTAAGGTTATTAGAAAGTGTCCTGAGGAAGAGAAGGCTTGGGTAGGGAAACGGGTTATGGGAGGATGTGAATATGTTGCTAATGACATGAAGCAGACCGGGAATGTAAAGGCTTGTGTTAGGAAGAGGGAGTGAATTGTTCTGTGTCCATCTCCATCTCCCTGTGACCTCCTCTCTGAAGATGGGCAAAGATGTAGAGGTCAGCTCTAGAGAGAATCTTGGGCTGTCACACATGGGGAGCTTTAAGACAGGCTCTGTTCTAATGACCAGACTGAAAAGCTCAGAGCCATTGAGCAATTTGTCCACTGTAACACATCTTGTTCATGTATAGGTCAGGGAAGGCTACCCCAGGATCCTTCTTCTTTCCAATACACATATTCTGCAGCTGAGTCAACTTTCTCAGTATCAGAGCCACACAAAGATGTGACTGATCAAGCAGAAGCCAGACTGAATGACCAGCTGGATTAACTGATACCCATTCCTGCATTAGAGGAGGTGATAAACAAGCTCTTCTTAAGGTCCCACCAAATCCTGAGATTCTACAGCTCTGAGAGAGAAGAATGCATAGCCCAGATAGCAGGCAGTGAGAACAGACTCCAGGAGGACTGGCAGGCTCGAGGGAACAGAGTAGACTGCCTACTTGTGGAAGTCCTCAATGCAGTGAATGAGGCCACCAGCGTCCACGGTGAATGGGATCCCATCAAGGCTGCGGTGGCACATCACACAGGTAAAGCAGTGAGGATGATAGGCCTTCCCGGTGGCTCGCAGAATCCGCTCCATGATGGGCTTGGAGCACACACTGCACTGCTCCAGGGTATTCTGGGGAGGGAAAGAAACATTCCAGTGTTAGGCTGGGACTTGCAGAGCTCCATGTATTTAGTCCCTTACAGCATGACCAGCACCTTACAGACACATTGGCTTGTGTGCCTATCACAGTACTTGGAAGAAGGTAGAGTGCGTATCAAGGAGACACATGAAATAGATCAAGTAGATCAAGTGTCTTTTCTAAATCTACCCAGAGAGGTGGTGGCAAATTCAAGATTTAGAACACATGTCTTCTGACTTCTCTCCCTTTTCTACCACTATTGCAGGGTTGATGGCAAACATTTCTGTTAAGGCACATAGAGAAAATATTTCTGGTCCAGTTGTAGCAGTTCAGTTCTGCTGTCATAGGGTGAAAGGAGTTGTAAACAGTACTAAGTAGATGGGCATGACTGTGTTCCAATAAAACTTTATTTACAAAAGCAAAAGCAAGCTGTAGTTTTTTGACCCCTCAACCACACACCCCAGGTTCTCCACTGGAAGAACACTTCACTATTCTAAAACTCGATTAGTCATCAAAAACCTGGTAGGGTCACCAAGGACCTTAAGATTTTAGAGTGGTCTGCCTGACGATGGAGACACGCAGAGCATGCCGGTGTAGAGCCCAATCAGAGCTCAGCACAATCAATGAGGCTTTTGATTCTTTTAAGCCTTGATTCGAATACCACCTCCAAGTTTAGTGTTGTGAACTCTTGATAGAAATGTTGAATCTAGAGGGGTTCTAGTTTTGAGAAGTGAATTATGAAAGTCAATTTTTCTGGCTTTAAAAATATACTGAACTGTAAAAATGAAAAACAAAAACCCTCCTGCAAAAGGATACCATATATTGAGTCAGGACACAGAAAGACTGATAAAATTAGCTATTAACTTTCCATCCTTCCCTAGAATCCCATGCTGTCTTACCAAACAACTATGTTTCACAAGTAACATGCTATATTCCAAGTGAGATGTCTGGACTGATGCAGAGTTTACACTCTAGAATAAACCTGGGATGGGGATCTGATTAGAAAGATGCAGAACTGGAATTGCCTTCTTAACCATGAGAACCTTTAAATGGCCATAACGTAAGAAATGCCTATAGGTGGATAACTAGTGTGCTGATGTCTCAACCACAGCAACAGTCTTTGATTGGCTTCCTTGTCGGCATCTCTCCTCCTGTAACACTTCCCTATCCCCAAAGTGACTTCTGGTTTCCTTTCCAAAAGGCAGATGTGACCAAGGAACTTTGCTGCTAGCAAAAACTTTTATGGCTCTACAATGTGAAAAGACCTAATTCCTCACTTGACATTCAACCTCCTTTTCTAGGGTCAGATTTCCCTAATGTCTCAGACTGTTCACTCTTATTCAAACCTGTAAGAGACTTCCATACTTCTGTGCACTGGCTAATGCCTAGTATGAACCACAATTTGTCATTTTGACCTTTCAAGGTACAGGTCAGAAGGCAACTCTCCAGTGAAGCCTTGCTGCATGCCTTCAGTTGGAATCAACTCCTTCTTTCTCTACCCTTCCCAAGTACTTAATTAACATTGCTTATAGCACTTACAGTGTCCACTGTATTGAAATTATTTGTGGGATGCCTGGGTGGCTCGGTCACTTAAGCATCTGCGTTTGGCTTAGGTCATGATCCCAGGGTGCTGGGATCCTGCTTCGGGCCCCTTGCTTCTCCCTCTGCCTGCCGCTCCCCCGGCTTGTGCTTGCTCTCTCTCTGACAAATAAAGTCTTAAAAAAGTTATTTGCACATTTGTGCAAACTAATTTCTTTAGCAAAAGGGTCATGTCTTCCTTTTTAAAGTTTTAAATTTTAATTCCAGTGCAGTTAACATGGGGTTATATTAGTTTCAGGTGTACAGTATAGTGATTCAATGATTCTATATATTACACTGATTCAAAAACCACAATGATTCTATATATCACACGGTGCTCATCATGATAAGTGTACTCTTAATCCCCTTCACCTATTTCACCCATCCCCTACCCACCTCCCCTCTGGTAGCCATCAGTCTGTTCTCTGTAGTTAAGAGTCTGTTTCTTGGTTTCTCACTCTCTTTTTCCCCTTTGCTCATTTGCTTTGTTTCTTAAATTCCACATATGAGTGACATCATATGGTATTTGTTATTCTTTGACTGTCTTCTTTTGCTTAGCATTATACATTCTAGCTTCCTCCATATTGTTACAAATGGCAAGATTTCATTCTTTTTTTGTGGCTGAGTAATATTCCATTGTGTATATACACACCACATCTTCTTTATCCATTCATCTATCGATGGACATTTGGGGTGCTTCCATAATTTAGCCACTGTAAATAATGCTGCAATAAACATATGGAATCATGTATCCTTTCAAAATGGTGTTTTTGTATTTTTTGGGTAAAAACTCAGTAGTGCGATACTGGATCTCAGGATAGTTCTATTTTTAACTTTTTGAGGAACCTCCCTACTATTTTCCATAGTGGCTGCACCAGCTTGCATTCCAACCAATAATACACAAGGGTCCCTTATTCTCCAAATCTTTGCCAATGCTTGTTGTTTCTTGTGTTTTTGATTTTTAGCCATTCTGATAATAGTTTAGATTTGCACTGTCCTGACGGTGATATTGAGCATCTTTTCTGTCGGCCATCTGGATGTCTTTGGAGAAATGTCTGTTCTTGCCTTCTGCCCATTTATTAATTGGATTATTGTGTGTGTGTGTGTGTGTGTGTGCTGAGTTGTATACATTATATACTTTGGATACTAACCCTTTATTGGATATGTCACTTGCAAATATTTTCTCATGTTTAGTTGGTTGTCTTTTAGTTTTGTTGTTTCCTTCACTGTGCGGAAGCTTTTTATTTTGATATAGTCCCAATAGTTTATTTTTGCTTTTATTTCCTTGCCTCAGGAGACATATCTAGAAAAAATGTTGCTATGGCCAATATCAGAGAAATTACTGCCTGTGCTCTCTTCTAGGATTTTTATGGTATCAGATCTCACATTTAGGTCATTAATCCATTTTGTGTATGGTGTAAGAAAGTGGTCTAGTTTCATTCTTTTGCATGTAGCAGTTTTCCCAATACCATTTATTTGAAGAGACTTTTTCCCATTGCGCACTCTTGCCTTTGTATCAAAGATTAATTGACCATGTAATTGTGGCTTTGTTTCTGGGCTTTCTACCCTGTTTCATTGATCTATGTGTCTATTTTTGTGCCAATACCATACTGTTTTGATTACTACAGCTTTGTAGTATAACTTGAAATCTGGAACTGTGATACCTTCAACTTTGTTTTTTCTTTTTCAAGATTGTTGTGGCTGTTCGGGTCTTTTGTGGTTCCATACAAATTTTAGGGTTTTTTATTCTAGTTTTGTGGAAAATGCTGTTGGTATTTTGATAGGGATTGCATTAAATCTGTAGATTGCTTTGGGTACTATGTACATTTTAACAATATTTGTGGGGCACCTGGGTGGCTCAGTCGTTAAGCGTCTGCCTTCGGCTCAGGTCATGATCCCAGGGTCCTGGGATCGAGCCCTACATCGGGCTCCCTGCTTGGCGGGAAGCCTGCTTCTCCCTCTCCCACTCCCCCTGCTTGTGTTCTCTCTCTGTCAAAATAAATAATAAAAACAAACAAACAAAAACCAATATTTGTTTTTTCAATCCATGAGCATGGAATATCTTTCCATTTGTGTTACCTTAAGTTTCTTTCATCAATGATGTATAGTTTTCAGAGTACAGGTTTTTTATCTCCTTGGTTAAGTTTGTTACTAGGTATTTCATTATTTTTGGTGCAATTGTAAATGGGATTGCTTTCTTAATTTCTCTTTCTGTTGCTTCATTATTATTATATAGAAATACAATGGATTTCTGCATATTGACTTTGTATTCTGTGACCTTACAGAATTTATTTGTTCAGTTCCAGCAGTTTTTTTGGTGGAGTCTTTAGGGCTTTCTATATGTAGTACCATGTCATCTGCAAGTAGTCAAAGTTTTACTTCTTCCTTACCAATTTGGAGCCTTTTTCTTTCTCTTGTCTGAGTGCTGTGGCTAGAACTTCTAGTACTATTGAATAAAAGTGGCAAGAGTAGACATTGTAGTCTTGTTCCTGATCTTAGGGGAAAAACTCAGTTTTTTTACCATTGAGTATGATGTTAGCTATGGGTTTTTCATCTATGGTCTTTATTATGTTGAGGTATATTCCCTCCAAGTCTACTTTGTTGAGGGTTTTTATCATGAATGTTGTACTTTACCAAATGCTTTTTCTGCATCTACCAAAATGACCATATGGTTTTTAACCTTTCTCTTGTTGATGTGATGTATCACATTGATTGATTTGTGAATACTGAACCACCCTTGAAAACCAGGAATAAATCCCACTTGATCATACTGAATGATTTTTTTTTTCATATATTATTGGATTTGGTTTGCTACTGTTTTGTTGAAGACTTTTGCATCTGTGTTCATCAGTGATAGTGGTCTGTAGGTTCCTTTTTTCTTTTTTTTTTTTTTTTGTGGTGCCTTAATCTGGTTTTGGTATCAGGGTAATGCAGGCCTCAGAGACCATGTCTTAAGAAGGTATTCTGCGGTCTCATACTATACCCAGTATACTACCTGGAATAAAACTAAACCGAGGATGAATGTGTGCAAAAAGAATGAATGAAGGAAAATTGTTTACATCCTACTCAGGCATTATTGGACTGGTCTGACTCTCCAGACTCTGGAATCCATCCCCAAATGAATTGGTAAATTCATCACCATCCTCTCCTCAAAGCTGTGGTTGCTGGAGGTTCTGAAATTGCTTAGTATGCCTCTGGTCACAGTCTAAACTCATGGAAACTATTAACCTATTTCCCCCCATTTTGAAGTGGTGAAGTTAAAATAGCAGAAGAACATAAGATGAAAGTCTGGAGAAAATGATGCTCTGGACAATGAGGGCCCTGCTTTTTTTCTATCATGGTGATCTGAGCTGATGTGGCTGCAAACTGTCTTCCCAGGGCTTGTGTTTTGCTCTTTGTGGGTTTTAACTTTTTT